TATTTTGTAGCTTCTGTAATTAATACCGTAGGCCTGGAAAAGCAAAAAGTAATGATAAAAACAGAATAAAGTGATAATAGTAAAAAAAAAATTATGTACATGCATGAAATAAATAATTAGATCGGCGCGCAACTCTGCCGCATTTGTTAATTCTCTTTTTGGGATTATTTCTTATTCTGCTTCTATGATTACGTGTTGCTTGTGTTGTGAAGACACGTTGTATCTTCTTGAAACGTTCATTTTCCAAAAGGAACTAATATTAGTTTTAATTTACTTTCGTTTAATGCCGACTTTGTCCTATGACACATGTAATAAATTTGAAATCACCCTTTCGCGTTTTAAATCATTTATGACAGACACACTGTCACTGTCAAAGCAATATTTTTTGCCATAAATTTTATTAAGTTATCGATCTGCTGGTTGTCGGACACGTACGGAGCTAGACTGTGCTGGTTGTGCAGTACTGTGGTTTTAGTAACAAATCGGGTGATTCAGGGTCAAAAACGGTTATTGTCTTTTTCATTAATCCGGTTTTCGTTCGTACTTGTTATAAAAATAAAATTGAAATAAAGTTATAAATTGTCCTAACAATTGTATTTATAAGAAAACATCAGATTTGACATTTTTTCTCGTATACTTGTTCGAGCTTGTTATGTCATTTGCAAATTCGTTCGCAAAAACTACCTTTTTTCTAATAATGTTTTGTTCTCAGCCATTCAGTGCACGCCGTGAAGTTTTAAGAAACAGTTTATGAAATTTTGAAACAAATGTAGAAATATATGTCATATATGGTAAACATTATTGTATCGTTATCGTGTGCTCTTTCCTTTCCGTCAGCTTCATTGATGAAAGAAAAATTATTTAGTTTTTCAGTAGATAGCCGTTCAGACTTACATCACTTATCGCGTGTGTTTAGCCTGTTCAAACGTCCAAGAACCTCGACTGTAATGAGCAGGACTTGGTTTCAGACGAATTTAATTGAGGCGAATAAAGTAGCGCCCCGATGTCGAAAACAAAGCATAGAAATAAAACACAGGCATTGCACGTGGATCACGCTTGTTTTGTACATTTCTTTGCCGTCGTTGCCCGACTTCAACGTGAAAATGCCTAAATTCACGTTTTGTCGAGGACGGGAACACAAGACAACAATTTTCTTTTCTTTTCCTGAACTTTGATAGAACCCTTTAGAATTCAACTCCAAAAACATTTGCCAACATTTGACGAAGTAAACGAGATGGAATAAGTGCGATAAAGTTTGAAGCGGTGCGAATTCCTTTTTTAAGTGACGGTTTTGTAGCCGACGCCGTCGTTGTTGCTTAAGCTCCCTAAAGTCGTCCCTAGTACTCGGCAAAATGTCACTGAACTGTAAAGGAAGTTTCAAATGCGAAATCCTGAAAAGCTCAGGTAATATTAATGCTAGCTTCCATGTGTAATCTCTGTGATCATTTGATGCATTTGCCAAGAAAACATGAACAAAGAAAAAAATAGAAAAGGGAATTTAACAGCAGTTCAAAAACATCGATCGTAGGTCAACGTTTTTCGAAATGCGAAAACATATCTCGCTAAATTGCTTTACTTTATAATCTTACAAAATTCGAAATGTCGGAGTTCCGGTAATTTGTAATATTCTACTAGTCTCTCCCTTGTAAACTTTTCAAAAGACATCCGGGCTGCGATAAAGTTTACTCTGAGCGGATGAAACGGCAGGAAATCCATGGTCCCTAGCAAAAATATAACGCGTTATTAATGACCAGCTGGTCTTATAACTACCCTATTGTTTACCTTGGCTATTTTTTTGCGTCAGCTCTTTGCGTAAGTGGTTACGTTTGTCCGTTTGTTCTACTGTCCCTTGGGAAGACAGTCGACGTTTTGTTGCTTTTTTCTTTTCGGCTAGATTCGCAAATGTGTGGCCGGGGGCGGGGTTGGGGGAGGGGGGGAGTACAAAACTGAGTTTTAACCAATCAGTGCTCGCTATTTGCGCACAGTGGTTTTCGCTTGTGACAAAAATCCTTCATCAACCAATCAGAAGTTGCGTATCACGTTAAGTTTTCCCGCCTTTTCCGTGTTTGTGTTGGTAGTACTGACTCCCTGCACAACGAAAGACTGTCTGTTTTGAGAAAAAGAAATTTCCCGGAAAATGGAAGAGAATTGATGATTTCGAAAATCTCGTCTTTTGTAAGATCAAACAAACCAATAAAAGAGGGAAGTGTGATGTCACATTACCATGGTAGCAAAATTCCCGGATCACAACTGATACGGAGCTTACTCAAGTAGTTTAAGGCCAGGGACCTAGGGGTTTTCCCCGTAGAAAATGAATTATTGGCCATAACTTTGGCATAGATGATGGCACTGGATCAAAATTTGGCACAAATAAAGAACTCATCGTCCTTAACATTTTAAGATATAACTTTTATGTTTATAGTCACGTGATATGTCACGTGACCATTTTGCTAAAAATCGTAAATTATTACCCAATCGGTGGCCGGTTTAAGGAAAGAAATCGAGAAATAACGTTCAGTTCTAATTCATATTCATTATTACACTTTACGTTTGGAATGACCGTCCATTGCCCTTCAATAAAAAATCATGAGGGAAAACATCATTTTACATGCCCGAATTTAATCTTGAATTATTTTTAAAACTTTAATTTTAAACTTCGCGTACATTCATTCCAAACGTAGAAAGTAAGGTCTTTTTATCCTCTTTTTCAGAAATGCTAATTTGTTTATCCAATCAAAGTAAATTCGCCACCAATTCGCCAATTTCCTTCATTTTCAATTTCCGGTCACGTGACATGTCATAATTCTAGGATTACTGATTTTTTTCTTTACCTAAAATGTCTTTCATGCTAAGGGAGCCGTTCGAACACTTATAAAATTGAAAAAGATATTTAATCGTATTAAATTTTAACATACTTCTAACAAGTAATCACAGACCATTACCTGCCTCTCAAATCTATTGTTATAAATATAGTTTCGTTTAAACACTTACAACGGACAACAAACCTGAATTATTTGATAGGTTTTTATGATATCCAGAATAATCAAGGTCGAGGTAAGTTTTATCAAACGAGCCGAAGGTCGAGGCTGATAACACTTACCGAGACCTTGATTATTCCGGATATTACAAAGACCGAATCTAATAATTCTTTTATCACAGTATACATTGTTCCGAAATAAATAGCGACAAACAAACACACCGTCGCATGGACATAGTTTTACATTGCTCATGGAAATCATGCATTGCGCGCACAACCTAAAGATTAGTCAGCTATCTTTCTAGCAGATAACTAACTAATCTGTAGGTTGCGCTGATTTCCAAAATTAACTGTAGGCTCTTAGCCAATAAAAAGACAGATAAAGAGTACAATGTATGATAACAACAATAATCGGAGACTAAATCAAACGATTGCAAATAATTTATTTTGCCGAAGACGTCAAACACACACTGCTCGTTTTCCAACAAAAAAGCTACAGCAATAAATTATTTTTCAAATTGTCTATTTATTTACACTACTGCCTGATTCTGCCATTCTTGCCGTGGTATCAAGTACCGGCGTCTTGGTTGTAAAGCANAACAAGAATTATACGCTTAAAGCTTTCAGGTAAATGACATACGTGAAAACCTACCTCCCCACGTTGAAAACGCACGTCGTAAACCTCAAACGTGACGCGAAAGACTTGGCACGCGACCTCCAGCGGTTAGAGGTTCGCGGTAAACTCGAATCTAAAACTCTCTATTGCCATGCATCTACACCGAGCTCGAGATATTAGACTAATACAATTGAGAATCTCACCAATAAATTAATTGAAACTTTGACAAAAGAGAGCCCTAATTAAGAGTCACCTTTACGGCAAATGGCAAACGTTAATTTGTACCACGTGGACAAGCTTTCCCTTAATTTGTGCTTTACTGTTCATTACTTCTACTTTAAAATTAGTAGCTTCACGTTAGTTTTGTCTACAAAAATTGTTTTGGACTGTTTCTAGTTGCACGCTTTCTATTTTGAGAAATTCTCAACGCGAACTAACGCCGTCTTCTGTAAACGTCAGTCTAAATAAAATCTTTCTACTAACTATGATAATATGTGGTGAAATGATATAACTACTACATAGATTGACCAAAAAAGAAAAAATTCTAAGGCAATTATATACTTCTGTAATATAGCGATCGACTTCTTTTCCGTTACACACAAGCAATACAAACGATAAAGAAAAGATATCTACAATATCCAATTGGTTACTGAGCCCCGAACTGTGTGTGGTGTAGTAAACTACAGATTTATTGAGGCTGACACTTTTTAGTGAGTGAATGGAAAAATGTCGGTTTCATAGTGTATGTATATATCTATTGAAAGCGAAATGATAACTGCAATAATTTCAAAACTCATCCTTATTTCCCGGAGGCAAAAAAGAATCACTACCGCGTAGATGGTATGGTTTTATAGTCTTAATTTTGCAGAATTTGCCTTTAAACTGTTTGAAAACATTTTTTTTTTCGTTTGATAGGAGTGGAACAGTAACTAAGATAATTAACAAACATTATGAAATTTAGAATCGTAGAGAAAATTATAAAGTCTTTAAAATAGCTGTCTAATTACTTTCTATTTGCAGAATTTAACTAATTCTAAACGAAAGTAACGTTACCGACGCTACTTTACTTATTTTCATGTCTTTCCCCCTCTTGTTGTTTATTACTGCCTGTTCTTCTTAAACTTGGTAGCTGTCGCTCGTATCTGAAATATGAAATAAGGCAAACTATTAAAACTTCGCAAATTAACTTCCAGTGTGGATTCGTTTTGGTCTCGTCCTAAGGCCTCATTATTTCGGGCGGTCACGTGACCCGAGCGAGTTTTCGGCCGTTCGATTCGGTTGCGTTACCGAAATGAATTGACCGAGAAGGCCTGGGAAGATGCCGCAGTGGGACCAAGAAAGATTTGTTTCAATCAGTCATTTTAGTATAAATGATTACCCCGTTTTCAACAGTGGACAAAAAATACCAACCTGTTTGAGATGATCTGCATTGCAAAACGTCCGTTTAGACATGTTAATCTGCTCAGCCTGGAATGGTTAAGAAAACAAAACTCTGTGAAGCATAACTTTCAGTGGAAAAAAGTAAGATTTATGTCACGAGACCTGTTCGTTAGAGTTGGATTCCAAACATACACAACTGAATTCCAATTCCCGTGGCAGTTTTATCCACCCTAGTCCGCAAAGATTACCAAAATGTGGCTCTTGTGTTGGATGAATTTGGAGAGCTGTTGTAACAATATGATACCTGTAGAACGTAAAGATCATCCAAAGTACTGATGCATGCCTTAGAGGACCTTAAAAGTAAATTCTTTTTGGGCTGCAACAACAATCTCATACCTCGAGTACTCTGGTTTCCTGGTTAGCGGGCGGACGCAATGAGCTATTCATGCGACCACCCGCTGACCAAAGAGAACCAGATTCTAACGCCAATTGACGACTTGATTACGAAACTGGTCTGATTGGAGAATTAGGCCTGGGCTCTCCAACACGTGACATGTAAGAGGAGCTTTCCATAATCTCCATAAACTTCAAAAAGAAGGCCAAGGGATTGGAAACCAGAAACTGGAAATTTTTCGAAAGCGTACCTCACCACCCTTCCAGGATTTAGTCAGTTTTCCGCTCAACTACCAGATGAAAATTAAACTCAACCTTTTTGATCACTGAAAAGCATCCCAGTTTTCCCTAAATTGGTAGTAATTAAAAGCATTTCTTAATCATTTACTTCAAAAATGATTTCCTTGCCATAATAATGTTTTAACATAATGACTTGAATCATGGGAAAAACGAAAAACGCTTGACAAGGAAAGGCTAGACAGGGTAAGAGACGGGTGTACCTTTAGGGGATTGCACTTGCATAACCGTTATCAACTCAAAGTAAAAGTATCTTCTTATTATTGAGTTAGATTACTTATAATTACCTTCCAGTAATTCTTGAAAATCTCTAAAAAGTTTCCCCAGATACCAAACAACAAAGGTGGTGTAGCCTGAAAGTCAAGAGTACCGGAACAAAATTAATGAAGACACACCTTTAGGCTTCTTTTATATACTTATTTCTTGTTTAAACCAAAGTTACATTACTCATAACCCATTTTTAGGATGGCGTCACTTAACTACAACTACCACTCCAGAATACAATTTGCTTCTCTTTGTTGTTCAAATCCGCATACAGTATGAAAGGTTTACACAATATGCCAATTCGGAGAGACTTGTTTGCACATGGAAACCAGATCCTGAAACGTTTAAATCGCTTCCTTTTTATAATAGACACCATCATTAAGATGGCCAATACAGCAAAGAGTTTCGTGGTTCAGAGAAATACCTCTTCTCCTTCCCCGGTATAATGGAAATAATTCACCACGTCTTTAAAGTCGTCCACTGTTGCTTGGACCTTTCCTTGCAAACGAGAAAGATCTTTTTCACCTGCAAAAAGAAAACAATAATGCAGCTGAAAGACATTAAAACTCCAGTTAGCGACCGTCTAAAATGTCAATATTTCATGTTGCTTACGAGAGCTGCCAACCATAGTGCTTTTACAGGGAAAAATAAATATTAAGAGTATTTTGGATAGGTGGACATTAACAAGGGACGGTCGTACATGGAGGCCTGGGGAGTACTCAGCCCCAAAATTTTCTATGGAGGTTTACCACTGAGTCTTCTAGACTCTAGACCTGTTCCAAGCAAAAAAAGATGAATTTGTGACCTCCTTCCAGACAGTAAGTCCGTGGACGAAATCCTGTATTAAAGATGAAGTCAGGTGAAAAAAAAAGAGCCAAATAATGCTGAAATATTCATACCTGTTGACAAATATTCTTTCACAAAACTCTCAAAGGGCTCGCGGTGCGATGAATTTTCACCTCCCAGTACCATCTCTGCCTGCAAGAATAGAGATCTTTAATAATGAAGTAAGAAATGAAAAATAGGCAAATGCTTATAGAAAGAGCTGTGGCAGCGAAATTCTCCGCAAAATCTACATTTTGCCTATCTTACTATACGTTTTAACGTTTTTTTTTCTGTCTTAACCTAAAGGGGAATATCACAGAAAAGCCAAGGAATAGCCTGTCCAGGCAGCAGAAATAGGGCTCATTGTTACAATTAAAGGGCCACTATACTAGGGAGAAGACTTTTATAGTGATTAGTGCGGCTACCCTTTAGAATTAAGGTTACATTCATTTTGCTGACTTCAAACGATATAAAGTTGTAAAGAATGACGTACCTTAGCTTTACATGTTGCTAATGAAATCTTTGCCTCGGCGAGCTCTATAAAGAAAGATGACTAAATATCAAATTTCCCGCTTGATGGAAAAACCTCGCGTCCTTAAATCAAAATATTGTGAAACCGAAAAAAAGTGAAAAGGTAAATATTACAAAAGTTTAAAATTACCTGCTTTGATATCCTTAAAGGAAACCTGTACAAAGGGAGAGACAAAATTAATTTCTGAAAAAAACTTACATTAACAGTATTCCAAAAAGGAGGGCAAGTATAAGCTTTTTCTCTTCCACCTCCAAGCCGACTCTCGAGAACCGATTTATTCCGCGCGCGAGTGCGTGTTTGGAGGGATCCACTAACTAAATTAACTATCTTTATGAAAAGTAATAGGCAACTACAGGAGAGAATTCATCTTCTCTTCACTAATTGTCGACTTCATTCACTATACTACCTGTTTGTTTCAGGTTTAGCGGGCTATGTAAGAGATATTTCACTGAAAGATTCGTAAGATGTTCGAGTCTGATTTTATCAGGACATCTGGCCCCGGTTGTTCAAACGTTGGATAGCGCTATCTACCGGATAAATCACTATCCAGCGGATAGCGTAATTGATTTCCGTAATACTTATCTGCTGGATAGTGATTAGTGATTTTCCGGTGGATAGTGCTATCCAACGTTTGAACAACTGGGGCCTGATCTTTATGTTAAGACTGCAATGCATTGTGGTTTACCTGAGAAGCGGCCAGGACAGAGTAGGGGTCTGGTAAGAGATAGTCTCCCGGTTGACCGTCCTGCCTCTTGTCACAGTAAAGTTTGACAATATACTGCATCAGATTAGTGTTGCTATCCTGAAAAGTGAAAAGCAGTTTTCAGTTTCAACGAAAATAAATTTGCGATTGCTTTGGTCCTCAGACCTGTCGTGCTTCGTGGATGCTTTAAATTCATTTGTCTCTGTCTGATATTAGAAGGTAGCAAATCCCACGGGAATTTCACACATTCTTTACCCGTTATACTTGTCTTGATCCTTGTTCGTTTATTTTCTGATTGCTTCGAACTTTTTTCATCTGCTAGGATTATCCAGGGAGTATTTACTTTGCTTTCGTTTGGTAGTAAGGTTCCTCCATTATAAAGTTTCTCTCTGGTGACTCTTGGCGGACAAAAATCTTTTCACACGTTAGAGTTGGCGACCAAGATTTAACAAGAGTGGCAGAGGCAGTGTAAAAGAAGAGGGTACACCAGTAGTTAGCATAAATTGTTTGGCTTCATCATCATCAGTTCTCATCGCACCAGTAGGCGCATAAGGCCTGCTCCAGCTCTTCTTCCCATAGGGAATACCTGAAGGTCCTCAGCGCGGTTCTGGGCTCAGTGTCTCACCTGTGTTTTGACGTCCTTTACTTTATTAAGCACTCCTAATTGAAATCCGTCGGCTTGACCTCTGTTTGTTCCTCCATTCATAAAGTTTCCCAAGGTCAGGAGAATAGAAAGGACGAATGAAATATCTTTGCTAAAACATGAAAGAAAAACACCTCATGAGAAAAAATAACTGGAAAATAAAGGTTGTCTTACTGGGAGAGGGTAAATACGATTGCCATTATCTCCTGGTCGATATCCCAGCTGTGCTAACCAGAATACCAAATTTGAGATCACTACTCGATTGTAAGTTGGTTAAATAGGCAGTAACAAGGAGCCCATGCAGTAAAAATTTCCAGAGTTTTTCTCAGTCTTTAGATAAACATTTTTTTTTTGGCGAAATACTCTATGTTACCACAACTAACATTGGCTGAGTTTCTGTACGTCAGTACTCTTTAAGCAAGAACGAGCTGAAAATGTTCATTGAAAAAACAAATATACCAGTATTAGCGCCTATAATTAATAACGCAAAGAAGAAAATAGTAGCAAAGATGGTCGGGCTTACTTAGTACGTAGCAGACTGCTGGCCTCTCCTATTGCAGACAATCTTCTATCTAAAGATCCAAGAAAAAATTATAACATTTAGTGCAAACAGAAACTCATAAGGGGTTATGAGTTTCTGGTGCAAATCAATGTAGCTCAGACGAAGGAGTACCCAAACAAAAATTTGAAAAGAAAGATCCAATATTTCGAAAAGCATGTGGTACTACGTAAGTGAACCGAGGTCAACAGATACTGTTTGAAAGGTGAGACCATAAATCATTTCGTCCAGAAACATAGCATAAGAAACTCAAAAGTTGCTCATGTTGTTCCTTTTCTTAACCAGTGGAAGACAAGTATAAAAAGCTCTTACCAATGGCGGTTATTGTTTCTGTGAATTTATTTTTGTACAACCAACACTCCAGCCTTTCTGCAAAGTGGTCCATTTTGTGTATTTGAAGTAAAAATTCTTCTGGTTTGTCCAGAGGTACTGAAAAAGAAGGCGAACGGGAAAAATCATTCTCTCTTGCGTTATACATTTGAATGGCAGAAGAGCAAGACAAGAGAACTGCTAAATATTATGTTCAGTGCTTTTTCCTGATGGGACGAGAAAAGAGAGTAATTATTGCCTTTAGTAATCAAAAGTTGGTGTAATTAAGACAGAAGTTGATTTTGTCTTACCGGTGGGATTTTCTTGATGGTATTTTGTGATCAGTTCGATCTCGTCTGATTTCGGGCGAATATCGTACAACGCCTTTAATCTGAAAATGAGTTAGAAAAAATGCCTTCATAAAGACTAATGATCTCATGCAGTGGATAGCAGTTCACTAACCCAACTAAAACCACGGTCTTAGTATTCGACACCCAAAGTGTGAAACAAAAACTATAGCGGATAGGGATAGACAGGGATAGTACAACGGATAGTTACAGGGGCAGAACTAGGGACGGAGTGAAAACAGACCCAGAACCCGTCTTCACTGATCAAACGTACACCATATATGTCTTATATAGACCGTAAAGCTAATCCCGTGACGTTTGTTGGCAATCTTACCCGTCCATGTCAAGAACAGAATTATCCATCTTATACACAGCGGTCTTGACGTCATCCAGCTGACAGCTCAAACTACTCATGATGATTCCAATAGTCTGTGATCGGCCATTGTCCAAAAGCTTAGCGGCCTGATGAAAAAACAAACAAACAAACAACAAACAAAAATAAGTGTCGTTGCATAATAGGACAATTGCACGATGATGATATTTAACTACAACTACCAGAATTCATTTCGGTTTTGCTTTTGTTGTTTAAATTTGTCAATTCCACTGAGGATTAAAGAACAATACCCTTTATTTGCACAAGAAAACAACAAACTCAAGGATTCTGGTAGTTGTAGTAAAATGACGTCATCGTGCAATTGTCCTATTGACCCAATCGTGAATTCCCTCCCTAATCACGAATGAAAAAAGCTTTTATCTTTTTTATCTTTGATTTTAAACCTTTCTTTTGTGCTGAATCAAACGTTATTACTGGCCTTGTAAATACAAAATATTTCATTTCTTGAAGTGCCTCCGAGAAGTTTGATGATCATCTGCTTCTTAAAGAGAGAAAAGAAAAAAACAACAGCAACAGTTTAATTTAACTCACGTGTTGTCCTTTGGAAAGTGAAAAGTGGCTGTCCTCATGGAGGGATTTTCTGTGATCGTATTTCGCCTTCTTGTTAATCTTCCGACCAAACATCCTTCACCAAAAAAAAAATAAAATAAAATAAATAATAGTAAGCCTAACTCTTTGTTATATACGAACAGCTGTGGTTGTCTGTATTACAATATTCAGCAAACTTACTTGTAAAAAAAAATCATAGTTTAGCATCAAATCTTACTTTTGGAATTCCTTTCTGTTGAAGTCCATTTCCTTCATGTTTTTCCAAACTGTGTTCTTGGGTTTGTTGTTGTTTACGTCTCCAGTGTCTGTCTCATCTGAAGACAAAATGAAGAATCAAGTCTGAGTCTAACTTAGAGCGAGGTTTAAACCCCTTAAAGGCCAGCTATCCACTTGTTAATTCTCTAAACTGATCCCCATACCTCTTACAATTTTCAAAGCGGTACTCAACGAACTGGGGGTGAAGAGGAAAGAGTGCAGGCTCCTACCCTTTCCTTTTCCAAAGGGGAGGCAATGACTATGAAGGATAATGCTTCGCGGAAAACCAACCTGATATGAGTATTCTTGTCCAAAACAAAGGCTTCATTTCCACGTCAGGTTTGACAGCCGCTTTCTTTGGCTTGGCAGGTCCTCCAAAGCGACGTGCACCAGGACCCATGGGGGGAGGGGGTGGAGGGGGTGCCCCGCCAGGAAGAGGAGGAGGTGGGGGAGGAGCGCTTGCAGAGCCAGGAGGAGGTGGTGGTGGTGGTGGAGGAGGACCCCCTACCCCTGGGGGTGGTGGTGGTGGTGGAGGAGGCGCAGGAACAGGTCCTGGTGGGGGAGGGGGAGGGGAAGCTGGTGACGGTTCACTTGATACAGAGCTTGATCGGGAATTATCAGAAGTTTCAGTCTCCAGCCGGCTCTTCATCTCGCTTATCATTTCTTGATATCGCTTTATTTCCTTTTCATGCTCAGCCTTTATCCTTTCCATTTCCTTTTTAAGAAATTTAACCGTTTCGTTTTCTGATTCGACTGTCTTCTTTTGATGGACACTTGCGACATAAACTTGTGTATCTTCCTTAGTTTTCGCGGGTTCAGTTTTCTTTGCCTCATGAATGCCATTTACCATTTTTTCTTCTGAACTGCTCAACACATTAGGGTCACACTTCTTGTCTTCTTGTTTCTCAAAAGGTGAAGTTTTTACAGAAGACGTGACGATATCTTTGTCAAGGCTACTTTTGTTTTCTTTGCTTGTTTCGGGAAGTCTCTCGGGACCACTCTTTCTCCCCATGACAATGACAGGAGACTTAGCCACATATGTTTGGGTGGTTGGTTTTACCTGAGTAACCTTTCCTTCTTGGACGGCTTTTTTTAAAAGTATTTTCTCCCCATCTTGATCTGCGATTGGTTTGGCTACGTCAGCGACCAAACCGGTTTGAGCCTGTTTAACCTGCGGAGCCCAGGGCACAAATCGCTGTGTAGGAGAAATGGGTTTCGAATTTTCTGATTTTGTGTCCATACTCACAGAACCTGTTTGAACCTGCTGAACTTGAGGAGCCTTGTGAACCGTCCGCTGAGTTGCAGCAGTGGGTTTGGAATTTTCTGAAATAACGTTTTCATCATTCTTAGGAACTTCTTTAGTTTCTTCAGGTTCTTCCGCTCGTTTATCCTCAGAGTTTTTGTCTTTAACTGCATCTTGAGAACTGAAAATTTTATCTCGCTCAAGCAGAGCTGCTAATCCTCTGGAAAGAGACTTGGAAGCATTCGTCTTCCTTTCATTGTTCGTTTCCTCTGAAGCCTCGTTCTGTGTACTACGTGAAGCCAACGATGCAACACCTGATCTACCAGCGGAGGTTTTCTTTAGGGTATGCGTTACCCATTCTGGTTTGTTTTCCTCGCGTTTCACGGGGGCATTGAATCTCTGAAAGAACAAGTTAAGTAAAAGTCGAGCTTTTTAATCAGATTGTTTCAAATTCGAAATGTTATCTGTAGTGTGTGCTATACGGATCTATGTTTAATGTTTAATGTGCTATGTGGATATATGTTTAATCTTATTATTTCAAATTTGAAATGTTATCTTTACCATGTCCTATGTGGATTATTTGTTCTTACAAATTAGCTAGAGTGTTAAAGTGACCTTTCACCAAACAAAGCATTTTTTTTGCTATTGTAGATAAGTTTGCTTTACTAGTACGATCTAGCAGTTTCCCTCTCTGACTTAGAAACAGTAGACCTTGGGGAGCGATTAAGTCTCATAACAAACTTTCGAATTTAACAAAAGACTGAAATATCGTGGATGAGAGGATAGCAAACGCGTCCTCTTTACATGAAATAGGTTAAAATGTAAGCTCAGAGGTAAGCATATAAGGGTGCCACTGGCACCCTCTATTGGTCCATTTTTATTTTACGAGCTTACTGTTACCCACCCGACCCATAATATATATGGTGAGTGAATGAGGCAGAACACACAACCCGGAAAACTTCTACTAACATTTTTGAACAGTGGTGTGATTCGACCAATGAAAGAAGGGAGAAGGAGACAACGCTAACGGCTTAGCGTCACTGCTGAACTGGAAGGAAAAGATCTTAATCATAGCCAGTGTGATCTTTTGGTTGGCGGTTTGAACCCAACTCCCATCGCTCGGCCGGCAGACCGGCGGTAAGCCTGAAAAAGCCTCAGTTATGTTAAAAATAGTAATCGTCTTGCTACTTGCGATTAGGATGCGACAATATCTTTTAAAATGCTCCTGCAGGCAAGGCAAAAGACCTTTAGGAACATCGTTTGAGTCTTGTTTGCTGGATGTATTCATTTGCGTAGTTCAAATGGCTTTTAAGCTGTTTTAACGTCTAGACAGACAACTTCCTTATGGTGAAGGTAAAAGCTAAAGTAAATTAAAGTGTAAGTAGTTGGTGTGTCGAAACATACGATACTAACCTGATCCAGTTTACACGCGTCCGGACAAATTTTTAAATGAACAAAAACTTGCACGGATCCGCTTTTCGTTAGCCTGCTGCGTCGCAGGGTTTGATTACGTCTGCCAGGCTACATTTCTTTTTCACGGGACAGTCGACGCGAGCGACCGAACAAGTTTTTGAATGGTAAACCGTACCGCAATTTGTAACAGAATTTGCATGGTTCCGTGTAAACGGGTTTCACAGGTAAAAAATTCGTTCCTTCAACAATTTGTCCCTTCCCGTGAAAACAGGCTCTTGGGAAGCATGTGTAGGAGATAAAACCTTTAGGTTCTTTTGTACCCAAGAGAAAATACATTGTAGTCAGTCTACTGGGTTTTATGAGTAAAAAGACAATTTTTGGTTTTAAACCTTCACTAAAAGACCAACTACCATTTAGCATTTAATTTAAAAAAAATTGTTACCCGCATCCTTGCATTTGCGGTAGTTGCCATGTTTTTAGGAATTTGTGGGTTCTCCTTCTAACTGAAGACTTTCTTGAAAACAAGCAAGATTTTCCAACACTTTTGAGGAGTCGTCCTCTGAGGACAATCTGAAGAAGCGCTGTCGCTTCACACCGAGTAGAACGCTCTTGAGGAGAGTTTCGACCAATAAACCAACAGAGATCCTTCGAAAGCCACGTCTTAGAGGAAACCTTCAACAAAAGAGAAACTTTGTTAAAAACAGCTCGGCCCGTTTTCCCTGTACAATCCCCCGCTTGCTTCGCGCTCATCCCGTCATTCGCCCCCTTTCCCCATTATATTTCCCATTGGTCTGCAAAGGATTGCAACTTGAAAAGTCTGGGTATTTTTTTCAAAGTCGTGTCATCGTGGAATCTTCCACTGATTCACTAAAAACTGTTCCTTGCCCGCGCTAGTGCAAACAAAGAAAAGCTAAGAGTACCCGCAGTCAATCTTGACTGCAAACTATTACAAAAACTCCCTTGACGGTTCGTCTTCAAGGTTTAGCAGACTCATCTTCCAAGATACAGCTTAGTGAAATCTACCTGAATCCTCCCGCAAACAGTTTTACAGTTATCACTGTAATGTTTCACCAATCCCAATTACGAACTCAGTTACGGGATCCCAGCATTCACAACGAGTCTGATTAACAATCATGGGTAGTCGAGACAAAAGTGATCTGAGAAAGGCTGAGTACCAGTGCGAGGGTAGCCAACTATAAGTTGAGATCTGATGCAAAAGTAAATGTTTTAGGATTTCTTCTGGTCGTTGTTTGTGCAATAATTTGAAAAAAAAAATGCTATCGGAATTTAATCGAGAACCGATATTCGCTTCCCTTTCTGTAATTCAAAATATATAGTATTAGACCACCACAAGGTTGATAAGGCTATTAAAGAGCTAATCAACAACAATAGTGCTATTAATAATAAGCGCGTTCTAATTAGTTAAAAACCCATGGTCTGTTGTGCCGGTAAACTCATAGAAAACTTAAAGTTACTTTATAAAAGCAATAGACCACTTTCTATGGGTTTACTGGCGTGATAACCCACTTGGGATGTTGGGAGAACACGAGAAAAGCCTGTATGATTTACAAGCTTTTCTCGTGTTCTCGGCTCAACATCCCAAGTGGGCTATCACGCCAGTAAACCCATAGAAAGTGTTTCCTATTGCTTAAATAATGCCTTCATTATTCTTAAATAAATTCTAGTCTCCATAGTCAAAGGGCCAAAAACCATTCGTTTAAACAATAATAGTTGAGATTTCTTCCAGAGATTGAAACACAGACGCTTTGTAACCGCCTTGGTGCAGGGTATACAAAATGTGATGGCCACACGCCGGTACACAGCAAAAGTTGGTGAACAGCCTTTGTTTGGATGATTGGTCTTCCTTGAGTTTCAGCACGTCGCAATAAAAAGCCTCATTTCAATTTTCGCTTGAGTACCGAGTCACTGTTCAGGAAATTGTACTGACCTCAACAGATTCACGATTATTCGACCCAACTTTGACTTTGAGTACAAGATTAAGAATGAGACAAATCTTGACAATGAAGACGCGCCGTACAAGCTTTTAAGTTAAGTGACGATAAACAAATCTAAATTTAAGTGAGCTGTGCATTCTTGGGATCACTAAATTACCAAATTTAGAACTAAAATGTTCGTTACAAGGAAAGGTGCTTAACTTTCCGGAAGAGCTCTTCTTCTTTATGTATGAAATTCAGAATTTTGGAAACTTTTCTAATCCTTTTTGGGGTTACCGACTATGACAACTAAGAACCAAATAAAGGTACCGAAATATTATTAGACAACATGAAAAAAAAACTACTCAATATATATAATAAAAGTTTCTTAAACAGAGTTATCGACTACTGATTATGACTGAAGGAAATACGTCATTCCAATAATAGATCAGAGTATATTTTATAAACACTACATTCCTAATATATTTAAAGACGAACAACACAGTACCATTCTCGTTTGTTAGAAAAGTCTTATGTGCTATTTGTCAATAAACGAGTGAGCGCCGTTTAATCATAACATAAGCATCCACTTGAATTGTTTCAAACTAATTTAACTGATTTTTAATTTGTTTGCATAAAGGCAGCCACTAACAGCTAATTTGTTTGATAACATCGTTTTCATGGAGAAAGTGAGAAAAACTTAGCTACTGGGTCGCGACTCTCCGAATTTTCCAGGAGCCAAAACTGATACATGCACGTTGAAGTACATGAAAAGTTTGGCGTGCGAGCCAATTAGAAACGCCCACACGTATTTCAATTTGTATCTGTTGAGCTGTTGTTCCCGCCTGGCTCGGCCAAGACATTCGACCTTGGAGCAACTTTGATTTAGATAATCAACAGTTTATTTGCCAAACAATAATGCATAAGTTCTTAAGATTATATCGTATCTTGAAATTTATCCGCGTCCCTGTTTTCTTTTAACTGGACTGGACCGAAATCGACGTCTGACCCAAAGTGGGCACGTCGCTAATTTGGGTCGACCCAATAAGGGGCCAATTAATTTCAGCTCATAATAGTTTGGCGACTGCAACGGCCAAAGTTTAATTGGACAATTTTTAGCATATTGAAGCATGGTTTACAAAGCGAGCTTACTAGATGTAGTCCCTATGTAGCTAGTGTGAACAAAAGAAATAAAAAAATGGAAATAAAATCCCGGAACGGCAAAATGTCTGTTCTCTGCTTCTCATACTGTTACTATATTCGTGATATTGAGAAGAATCCTATGACTAATCACGGGGTGATATGCTAAAAGTGATTCATTTACTGTTATAAACCGGTAACCCGTTTTTAGAACCTTATTTGTGCTATGCGGTTGTTATCGGCCTTTCTGCGGTATAGGATCATACTCTGAACAAACAGAAGCCAAAACACAGACGACGTTGATAACTGAAAAGGCGAGAGGATTAGTTGGTTTAAGAATCTGAGCAACGAATGCGATAAGACAGCTGTGAATATTGCGAGCCGTGATATAGTTCATGTTTCGTTTATAACATTAATCGCCAAAGGAACGTTGTAAATGTTTCAAACGTAAGGGTAGAAAAATCCTGGGCTAACAAAAACGCGAAATGTTTTTGCTATTCAATATCGGCTGACCTCTCTGTACCCGAAATTAATATTCTACGTCTAAAGTGTCACTCCAAGACAAAAAAAACATGAATAACATGATAATGGCCTTATTCTACCGTGCGCTACACTGATAAAGAATGGTGTTTTAGTGAAACTGCAGACTGTTATAGAAAATTCAGAGCGGGTTCTGGTAAATTTGAGCTGGAGAGCGGAGGAAGCGATATTTTGTAGAGTAACAAGGAATATTGGTTATACAATACTGTTTAACAGTATCACTGTTATCTTATGACAAAACGAGCGCACAGAAAAAACCTCTGTCTTGATTCCATACCGCGGACCAATGGTCAAGTTAGAAGGTTTCAATAAATGTTAAGAACTGCTCATAGGGAGTATTCAAGTGACAAAGAAAAGCAACAGAGAACTTCTAAC